GCTCCTCTTCTTTTGAGACTACGCACAGTGTCATTGAAGTGGTACGATGTGTAAGCATAGAGCATGGGAAGTGCTGTTCTCACCTACATCATAATGCAGAGAATGTAGGGAATTAGTTAAGTGCAAAAGAATGAATGTAGGTGTAAGATGACTTGCTGAATAGTTGCATACAATTGTATTACATACATCACACAACTTTTTGTGTAGGAGGTGAAATACTGAGAAAGAGTACTTTTTTTATTATGTAAATTATAAGTACAAAAATCGATCAAGAATCTAGTAGGGGGAAAGCGTTTTTTTTTAGCTACAATACAGGATTAAAAGTTATTTACAATCGTTTTGAAAGGTTGAACAAGTGTAAGAAAAATGCCATATTCCGTTAGTTTGAACTTACCTGCTATAAGATATAAATTTATGAGTAATTGAGAGCTTCCACAGAGTTGTTGAGGATTTCGAAGTCGAAATTTGTCATATGTAAAAAGCAGTAATTCGTGCATAGAGATTACTAGCAGTATTCATTTAAAAGAAAGTAGAAATTCACGTAGTTAATCTTCACGAATAATGACCTAAAGTGCCTCAAACTTCGCTTATCACCAAGATGCTGTTCATCTACGAAGAAAGACAGCTTATAGTGAGATTCTTGTTGGTCTTTGACACAAGAGGCTAGGATTGTAACAAAAAAACGAACTGTGTATGATTATAGATTTAGTGAACACCAAGTGTAGCCTAACTGGATGACACTAGCCTCGATACCTAATGCTTTAAACGACAACTAATTTTCACCTTTTGTCACAAAAATTACATACAAGTTTTTTGAGTCGTTGATTATCAAGTTCTTTGATTACCAAATTTTAGCAATACATACTTTTTTCTGTAACCTCGCGGTACCTTGACCTAGACGCTTTCTTGCCACAAAAGAAGCTCTCTGACGTCCGAATGCCGAGACTTCGTTTTCTCAAGACTTCTGGGGTGGAATGTATCAATCTCCCTGTCGGAGATCGGGTGCGTTTTTACAATAGAAAATGAGCTCCCTATCGGGAGGAGCCTCCATTCTCGCGATGCAAGAAAAACTTGCACGCTTTACTTGATCGGGCAGCAGCACCCTAGCTCTTGAGGTCGGGAGCTGAGATACTAACCACGCCCGATGTATCTAAACTTGCCAGATCGGACGCATTGCGCACTCACGACATTGTTTTACTTCACAAATATCAGCAGTTCTCGCTTCAACCAAGCTAATTCAATAGGATTCATATTTAAACTTCCTAGTTAATCTTTTCTGATAGTTTCAGTTTGATTTGTTTTTGAAAAAAACTACCTCTTTCTCGCTTTTGGTTTGTGGTAATGGGTGAGATACTTTGAATCTCCTTCGTTTCATACGTCCTTCAAATTAATCTCCTCTGTGTTATATATGAATTAGCTATTATAGAGCGCTGAATATGGGGTAGGCTTAAACAACAAAATAGGGACCAATCAAGCAGTTTTTTTGTGGAGCAGTCTGATTTGTTCCAGCT